TACTCTTCGCCATCTCGGGCAGTTTCATCCTGTTAAATTTGTTACGTTTTGCAACAATTGCCTATGTTCGAATTGCGAATGTTACTTATCCTACAGATTCTGACTTGAGTAATGTCACATTTGTTCTCCAAGAATCAGGATTTATGCTACAGTTTTTGAGTTCTTGCGTCAATCCATTTATTTATGTTGGGACCCAGAGTAAATTTCGAGCTGAGTTAAACAATTGGCTGAAATTACCCTTGAACATAATTGTGCAAATATTTAGACTTAAAGTAAGATAATTCCACATGAATTGTATTTTCTATTGCAGAATATTGTCTCGACTCATTTGGGTAGCTCACTCGAAGTCAAGCCCAGCTGTTTCTGGAGTCATCACAAAAGCAACGACTTTTAAAGTATGAACATTATTTAATTTAACTCGCTTTCAGACGTAGATTGTTAGAAAGGCCAGATTTTGTTACTGAACAATAAATGCTATTCATTACAATTAATTAAGTCTAGCTACAGGTAAACAGTTATAAACCACCGGCATATAACTATATGAGTTAAACCTCCAATCGAAATGTAAACTCTCGGTTACTCAGAAATAGACAAACTGACATGAAAAATAGATTATGGACAGTGGGGAAAAACTGGAAAGACAGTTCAACAGTCATTCTTCCCAGGTGCTGTTGTTGAGATGATCTCTATTACTCTTCCTCTGGCCAGTACGTTGTTTCCATTGTCTTTCGCTGGGTGCTTCCATTGGTTGGTGTCTGGTTCCGTCATCAAATGTATCTGATTGATCAGTTAAATATCACTGCGTGTAACAACTGTTGCAGCAAACATAAAATGTTGACAGTGATTTTTGACTGGCGACAACAGGGAGACAATTCCGGAGCTGGGGAAGAACTGAATAATTTTCTCTGGCTGTAACTTATTCTCAGCTTCAAAATGTTCATTTACCTGAGAACCGAACTTGTACTTGCTCCCACTAGCAGATCCCTGCCATTGATAATGGTTCACTCGACTACAGGTTAATCGACTTCTTGTTGCCAGCAAAAGTTGCAGCAGCACATGCCCACAACTCTGGAATTCCTGCTTGATCACAGTTGTTCTCATGATGCCCGACATGGGTGTCAGGTTACTTGATTTTCAAGATTGCAGTTAATCTTTCAACAGTGTGGAGCTGGAGGAACACAGCAAGCCAGACAGCATCAGGCGAGCAGGAAAGCTGACGCTTCAGGTCAGGACCCTTCTTCAGAAATGGGGGCGGGGAAGCGGGCTCTGAAATAAATAGAGAGGGGGCGGGGTTTGGGCTGGGGAAGGTAGGTGGGATGGTGATAGTGGGTAGGTAGTGGTGGGGATTGGTCAGTGAGGTGAGAGGAGCGGATAGGTGGGAGAGAAGATGGACATGTCAAGGTGGTGGGGATGAGAGGGAGGGCTGGCCTTGGGATGAGGCTGGGGTGGGGAGATTTTGAAGCTAGTAAAGTCCACATTGAGACCATTCAGTTGTAGGCTTCCAAGGCAGAACATGACGTGCTGCTTCTCCAGTTTCCGGGTGGCATTGTTGTGACACTGGAGGAGGCCCAGGATGGACATGTCATCCAGGGAGTGGGAGGGGGAGTTGAAGTGGTTCGCGACTGGGAGGTGTTGTCATTTGTCATGAACCGAGCGTAGGTGGTCTACAAAGCGGTCTCTGAGCCTCTGCTTGGTCTCACCAATGTTGAGGAGGCCACATTGTGAACAGCGGATACAATAAACCACATTGGCGGATGTGCAGGTGAACATCTGTCGGATAGGGAAGGTTTTTTGGGGCCTGGGATGGAGGTGAGGGGGAAGGTGTAGCACTTTTCTGCAGTTGCCGGGAAAAGTGCCAGGGGTGGTGGGGCTAGTGGGGAGTGTGGAGCAGATGAGGGAGTCGTGGAGAGAGTGGTTCCTCTGGAAGGCAGATAAAGGTGGGGAGGGAAATATATCCTTCGTAGTGAGGTCAGATTGCAGGTGGCGGAGAATGATGCATTGAATCCGGAGGTTAGTGGGGTGATACATGAGGACAGGGGAATTCTGTCTTTGTTTTTATTGCAGGGAGGGGATGTAAGGGCATCTAATGTGATGTGATATATTTTGGAAGGTCAAATACAGGCATAAGTTACACCATGAATGGCACAATCCATAGGAGTATTGATATGCAGAGGGATCTGGGTGTGAGGGCCAGAGATCACTGAAGGCAGCAGTGCAGGTGGATAAGATAGTAAAAAAGGCCCATAGCATACTTGTCTTCATTGAAAGGGGCATTAAGTATAATGAGAGACAAGTTATGCTGCAGCTTTATATAACTTCAGTTAGGACACACTTGAAATATTGTGTCTAGTTCTGGTCACAACACCAGAAGGATGTGGATGCTTTGGAGAGGGTACAGAAAATGTTTACCAGGATGTTGCTTGGTATGGGAGGTTTTAACTATGAAGAAAAGCTGGATAGACTGGGTTTGTTTTCATTAGAATGTGAGAGATGAGGAGCAACTTAATAGAAGTTTATAAGATTGTGCATGGCATGGTAAAGTGGAAAGAAGAAGGCTTTTTTCAAGGGTGGAAGGCTCAATTACTAGAGGACACAGGTTCAAGGTGAGGAGAGGGGGTGTCTAAAAGAGATACGCAAGACAAGTTTTTCACACAAAGGATGGTGAGTGGCTGGAACATGCTGCCAGAGGAGGTGGTGGTAGCAGACACAATAGCAGCATTCAAGAAGCACCTGCATGAATACATGAATAGGAAGGGAGTAGAGGGATATGGATGCTGCAAGTGGAGACAGTTTTAGTAATGAAGGGCAAACTGTGTTGCCGCAGGCTTGGAGGGCTGAAGAGCATGCTCCTGTACTGTATCATTCTTTGTTCATTATGGGACCCCACTACACACAGAACCCAGTCAGACAAGCATCTCTTATTATTAGCCTCTACTTCTTGCCACTCAGCCAATTGTGGACCCTATTTGGAAATTTCAATGGATCCCAAAGGACCTAAGGGACAACTTTTTCAGCCAGAGAGTGGTGCACGTATGGAATGAGCTCTCAGAAGAATTGTGGGAGGCTGGTACAAATACAATATTTAAAAGGCATCTGGATGGGTATATGAATAGAAAGGGTTGAGAGGGATATGGGCCAAATGCTGGAAAATGGGACTGGATTAATTTAGGACATGTGGTTGACATGGACGGGTTGGACTGAAGGGTCTGTTTTCGTGCTGTACACCTCTAAGACTGTGATTCTATAACTCATGAACTCTTAACTTTATTATCATTCTCCCACGTGAAACCTTATCAAATTTTTGCTGAAGTGAAAGGAGACTGTCTCAAAAGCATTGCCCTCACCTACGTACATGGACACCTCTTCAAAATATTGAATCAAATTGGTCAACATAACCTCCCCTCACAAATGCATGCTGGCTGTTCTTCATTAATCCCTGCCTCTCCAAATGTAATTAACTCTGTCTGTCAGAACTGCTTCCAATAGTTTACTCACCATCAAGGTGAGGCTATTTTCTTGGTTTATCCCTTGCTCTATTCTTGAATAAAAATACCACAGAGAAAAATTGAAAACTTTGGCAAGCATCCCTGTTATTTCATCTCAACAATCTAGGATACATTTCACCTGATCCTGTAGATTTATGTACTTTTAAGCCTGCCAGACTTCTCAGCACCTCCCTTCTCTCTTGGCTAATTTCTTTAAATTCTATCATGGACTTTCTCCAACTTCATCTCTCTCACTAGGGAACACTGCCACAAAGTACTCATTTAGAACTCTACCTATATTCCCCGGCTCCACACACAAATTATTATTGTGGTTTTTAATGGCCCTACTCTTTTCACATTTATCTTTTAACCATTATTGTACCCATGAAATAACTGAGCATTTTTCTTTATGCTATCTGGCTGTATCAATTCATATTCCCCTTATAGCTCTCCTAATCTCCCCACTTAATTTCCCTCTTGCACCTTTACTCTGAAAGTATCTGCTCCTTGCGCACTCTCATCAAATCATATCTGGTCTTATTAAAACCTATCAATTCAGAACTTTGATTTCAGGCCCATCCTTGTTCTTTCCATAACAATCCTGAATCAAGATTTACAATAACTGTCTGCAGAATGCTACTGATACTTCAGCCACTTGTCCATCTTTGTTCCCTAAAGTTAAGTCTAGGACCTCCCCCTTCCTTGTTGGTACTTCTGTATACTGGCTTCAAAAGGTGTTCTGGATGTATTTTATAAGTACCTCTTAACCTTTCACACAATGACTACCACTGTTAATGCTGGGAAAGTTGGAATTTCCTTATATTATAACCTTCTTACTTTTACACTTCCCTGAAATTTGCCTCCTGACCTGCTCTACTTGTTCTATTCACACTTGTTTATTTAAGCAGTTTTCTAAGATGTCATCCCTCCTTATTTCTGTAATAAATTCCTGCAACAGAATTGTGACACCTCCTCCTCTTCACCTCAGTGAAGAATCTGTATTCTGCAGTACTGAGCTTCCAATTCTACCCCTCTCTCAATCATGTCTCAGTGACAGCAACATTATTATACCACAATGTTTTATTTGTATCCTCATCTGCCTAGCTCGTCAAACTCATAGCATTAAAATCAATGCCATTGACTAAGTTAATTCCTTTGTACCTTACAATGTCGATGCTTTCCTGACTTACTTGTTGTTTCTTCTCTTTTTGGTCCCTCTTCTTACCCTTTTGAACATTTTCTCTGGATCCCATCCACTTGCCAAGTTAAGTTACATGTATATTGAACAAATGATGAACAGGAAAAATAAAATTCTTGCCCTGTGCACAGAATTCCAATAATGCACTAATTTTCCAGCATTCCAGGTTGTCCCTCTCTCTGGATGTGTCTTGTCCGAACTGTTCATGTGAAGCATATCGATTGTCACTCAGAGTAAAACAAACTCCATGAGATGGAGAGCTCTTCAGAAGAACATAATCTGCCTTAGAGATAGGATAAAGACTAGACGCACAATAGTTTAAATTTTAAAAAATCTGATTTATATTATTTTTATCCCAAATAGATAATTGGAATTGTGGTGTATACAAATATCACCAGAATCAGGCCCAGAAGACATGCTTTGGATATCGATAATAGCATAAAAATCCAACCCTTACAGTTTTTTTAACCAGGCCTGATGGACTAGGAAATTCCCTTACAAACAACATGCAGGTGAACAGTCTCTATTCAGTGTGAATAAATTGATGTACAGCGAATTTGTGGTTCTTTCCAAACCCACTCTACTGTTACACAATTACATGAACATTTTATGTACAATATCGGCATCTCTACTAGAACAGGGTTTAATTTTAACATATGTACAAACAGCCCAATGGATATTATTCATTCGTTGGTGTGAATAAGAGGACTACATTTCAACTGTGTATTTTTGTGAAGAGCTGGTGTATTAACAAACAGCAAAGACTGCCACAAACACAGCAGGAGAATAGCATGCACCCAGTGACAACTTGATGATGTGGTAATGCTTAGGATGACAGTGTGAATCTTTTCCAACACACAGAGCAAGTGAATAGTCTCTCCCCAGAGTGAACTCCCTGGCAAGTTCATACGAGTTGACCGAGTGAATAGTTTCCCACAATCAGATCAATTGATCAGTTTCTCTCTGGTAAGAACTCACTGGTGATCCAGCAAATTAGATGTGTGAGTGAATCCTTTCCCACATTCGCAACAGGTGAATGATCGCTCCCTTGTGTGGAGTCACTGGTATTTGAGTAGGTTCGGTAATGAAGTGAATGTCTTTTTCCAGAAGTGGAGCAAATGAATGGTCTCTCCCCAGTGTGAACTTATCGATGCGTCAACAGGCTGTATGACACAGTGAATTTCTTCCCACAGGCTGAGTAGGTGAATGGATTATCCTCAGTGTGAATGCATTGATGAATTTCCAGTTGGGATGGGTAACAACATCCTTTCCTGTAATCCCCATATATCCACAGTCTCTCCTCAGTGTGACTGCATTGGTGCATTTCCAGCTGGGGTGGGTAAAGAAATCCCATCCTGCAATCTCCACATTTCCACAGTCTTTTCCCAATGTCACTGTACTAATATTTGGTCATTCCAGATGAATCTTCACAGACTCTTCTATGCACAGATCACGTCTGCTCCCCCCCAGTGTGAATAATGCTTTTTTCCTTCAATGATCAAAATCCTGACAAAATTTGGTTATGATAAGCAAAGTGACTGTGAGAACTGGATGTAGTTTCATCTGAATTCTCTAATTGTAAACTAATCTTTCATACAGAAAACAAAAGTAATGATTGAGAAACCAGAAGAATACACAGATTATGAAAATGAGAGAAATGAGTCTGGTCATTTGTGGAGCCGACTTGGGGAATCTGCTGGATTATCATTAAAATTGGCATCGCGCATATATGTTCTTCAGGTAAGTAAGCTAGTCAGCGTTTGCACAAAACTGCTGAAAGAGATAAGAAATTGGAGAGGCAGACTTGAAGAAGAGGCATTTTATCGATCTGCAATTCAGTCCTGTTCCTGTTTTTTCCATATACCCTTCAAACCCTCCAAAGGATTAAGAACAAGTACAGAAGCAAAACACTGAAAATCTAAAGTAAAAACAGGAAATGCCAGAAGTGCAAAATAAGCAGCATTTGAAATTGTATCAGACGCAAAAACCATTGTAACCTTGAAGAAGTGTTTAGACGAGCCTACAAAGCACAATATAAGTTATACTCTCAGTGCTGGACAAGATGCTTAATGACCAGCGCGGATCCAATAGGGGACACTGTGTTCAACAATTTTATATCAGAATGTCTGACTCCATTTTGTTTCCTATTTCTCCTTGACTCTCTTTTTGTAGGCAGGCAGGCGTTCATGCAGTGAAGAATGCAAATGATAAGTTAGCCTTCACAGTGACAGGATTTAAGTACAGGAAAAGGGATATCTTTCTGTATGGGCATTGTGAGACCACACCTGTAATACTGCGAGCACTTTTGTTCTCCTTTCCCCAGAAAGATGCCCTGCCATTAAGAGAGTGAAAAGAAGGTTCACCAGAATGATTCCTGGGATTCAGGGCTGATGTATGAGGAAAGACTCAATCCTCATTTAATCTTAATTTCTTTTATCTTCCTGAGCTACTGGTTGCATCACTATCTAAGGTTCTACTCCCCCGTTTCCTGATCCGAATCTGACCAATCTAAGCCTGCACTTTTGGTTCTATCCCCATTACTATCGAATCGTCTATCACTATAACCCTACTGCTCGTTTTCCTCACATTATGTGCAGCAGACCTACCCGAAGTAGCTTGGCTGATGCTGCTTTCCCCAAGAGGCCACTCCTCCCCTGACAGTGTCCAAAGTGGTATATCTGTTTGAGAGGGGCATGATGACTGAGAACTCCTGCACTTTCTTCCTCAGCCTTTTACTTTGGTTGCCCATTCCATTTCAACCTGTGTAATCCTCACATGCAGTGTCACCACTGTGATAAACATGCTGTCCACAACATGCTCATCATCGTAGGTGCTACACAATGAATCCACCCACAGCTCCAGCTCTGAAAAGTCAGTTAGCCAGTAGTTGCAGATGGATATATTTCCTGCCCATGTAGCTGTCAAGGACACTGGAGAATTCCTTATTTCCCACATTGCGCAAGAGTAGCACACCATGGGTCTCCTGTTATGTTTTCTCTAGATTAAGCCAATTACTCCCTTTAAGGGAATTTTATTAAGCTGTCTTCGTTTCAAACATTTCTTTTATAATCAGAAGTCCCTCCCTTTATTTAAGCTGATTTATGTACTTTAAAAAAACTGTAAGAAAATACTCTACAGTATTATTTATCTCTTGGCTGTTTCCATTGGAACCGTATCACTTTCTGAATTACTGGATTGAAACTGAGCACTACATTCAGTCTTTCAGCTTCACCTTTCTCCTTGTCTCACCTAACTCACTGTTTTTGCCCAACTTCAAAACACTCCCATTGAGCCAAGCAGCACTCACAATGCAGCTTTGTCATTTAAACTGTCTGCTTACACCTACACTGACTTCAGCCTCCTGAACTGTTCTAATGATGCTCAATGGGAACTGAGGGTACAGTGTCTCATCTTTCAATTCAGCACGTTATGATGCTGCGGACTCAACACGGACGCCAGTAGTTTCTAGATCAATGAAGAGATGTCAGGATCTGCAATGTTCCACCTGAAGTCATGCGGGAACGCATGTCCATAAGGAATTTTAAAAGGGAGTTTGCAGTATCTGAGAATGAGGAATTTATAAATTAAAATCATGAAGTGTGCGACTGGGGCCACATATGACAGTTCATTCAAATAGACGTGCCCTCTCTCAGGCCAAAATCTCCTTCCTCAGCTGCTGGGCCCAGAACTGAACACATATCCCAGGGGCGGTAATAATCGTGAAATTGAGCGTCTTGCTGATTTTGAAATTACAACCATATCGGAGATACTTCCCCACAGACAGAACCGACAAACGTTTTTTCCTTCCACAGACAAATGTCAAACGGGACTTTCCTGCTTCTCTGATGCTGCTCGACCTGCTGCCTTTGTCCAGCCCTATGTTTATTGACGAGGAAGAAGCATGCGTCCTGCTGCCCGTGCCCCGAATAAAGATGGCGGCGGTAACAAGGGGCCTGTAACGCCTGAAGCCCACAGCCATTTTCCCGTTTTCTGCAACACGGGTCCGGGAGTTTCTAATTCGGGTTTAGGGGCCTACACCTGGTATTTATGAAACTGACTCTATTTTTCCGGTCTTCGTCATTAATTTCTCCTTTCCCGTCTCCTTCCTTCGACACTCAATCAGGCGCCACTCACAGCTGCACTGCGCCTGCCGAGTTGGTGGTCTCGTGTCGTTCCACTGGCCCCGTCCCCGGTTCTGAGGAAGGGTCAACGGACCTGAAACGCTAACTGTGATTTTCTCTTCACTGATGCTGCCAGACCTCTTGAGCTTTTCCAGCAACTTCTTTTTTTGTCTCCTTCACTCCAATTGGTTGAAGGACCAGCCACTTTCACTTTCGCCCTCTGGGCACGCCCTTTCTCCTCTAAATGGTCCGGAACTGCCGTCAATCAGCTGTGCCCCAGCACAAAGCGACAGAACTGCGGATGCTGTAAATCAGAAACAAAAACAAAAGTTGCTGGAAGAGCTCAGCAGGTCTGGCCGCATCTGTGAAGAAAAAAAATCTGAGTTAACGTTTCGGGTCGAGTGACCCTTCCGGAGAACTGATGGCAGCTAGGAAAAAGTTATTTTTTATGCGGAAGATGGGGGCAGCGGTTAAGGAGTAAGCGATAGGTTGGGGATAGAGCCCAAAAAGATACCCAGATGATCAGTCATGGATGATTTCTCTTTTGTAAATCTGTGGTGTCTGTGTCTAATTCTGCTATTGTATTCTACGTGCTCTACTGCAAAATCCTTGATAATGGAATCGATCTTCTTCCCCACTACTTATGTCAAACTCCCAGTCTATAATTCTGTGTTTTATCTCTACCTTCCCTTTTAAATATTGAGGTTACATTACATTATCCGTGCACATGCGTGTAAGAAATCGTGAAAGATAATCAACAATGCATCCACCATTTGTATGACCGTTTCTGTAAGTACTCTGGGATGTAGATTGTCAGGGGCGAGGGATTTATCGGCTTCCCATCAACTTCTCCAACACCATTTCACGAAAATTACAGATTTTCTTTAGTTCCTCCCTCTCGTTAAATCGTGGTTTTTCCATTTTGCCTGATGAATTATTTGTGTTCTCCTTTATGAAGACAGAAATGAAGTATGAATTTAGTTTGTCAGCCATTCCTTTGCTTCCCATTATAAATTCCGCTGTTTCTGACTGCAATGGACCTACATTAGTTTTTGCCAATCCTTTTCACTTTATATATCCACAGAAAATTCTACAGTCAGTTGATATGTCACCACAAACTTACTTTCATGCTCTATTTTCCCTTTCTTAGTAAATTGCTAGGTCCTCCTTTGCTGACTTCTGAATTGTTCCTAATCGTCAGATCTATTGTCTTTTTTACACCAATCTGTATGCTTCTCTTTTGCATCTAACACTACCTCTAACTTCCCTTATAAGCCATGGTTTGACCATTGTTCTCTTCTATAGCAACATATTGGAATAAACAATTTTTGTTATTAATCTATGGTCTCTTATTCCCAAGGGATCTCTCGCAACTACATTGTGAATTATTCCTCTCTTATTGCTTAAAAAACCCAGTCTAAGGTGGTCTCTTCTCGAGTTCATTCCAAAAAGTATTCTTCCAGAAAACCATCCCGTTTACACTCTAGGGATTCCTCCTGTCCAGTGTTGTGACTAATTTGATTCACCGAATCTTTGTGCAGATTAATATCACCCAGAATTACTAATGTTCCTTTACTATTCATTGTTTGTCTCTGATTTCACATTTAATGTCATTCCCAACATCATCAGTACAGTTTTGTGGTCTATGTGCCTCTCGTGCTATTGTTTTTGGCCCTTGCTGTTTTTCAATTCTGTCCTCAGATTTTCTACATTGTCTGAGTTAATATCTTCCCCAATAGTGTGTGTGGATCCTCTTTAAGCAGTAATGCAACTCCACAGCTGTTTCCTTTTGTGTCTATCCTTCTTATATAGTTAATGCCCTTGGATGTTCAATTCCCATCCCTGGTCACTTCAAAGCCATATCTCCGTAATTCCAATGATATCACACCCATTTACATCTCTCTGAGTGGTTAATTCATCGACCTTATTTCAAATTCTCCATCCATTCTTTTAATGTTTCTTGTCCCTTCCTCACTTTATTCCAACACAGAAAAACAGTTGTGAAGTGAGATGCCCTCTGGGGCTTGCCCAGCTGGCTGCCTGGCGTCTTTCCTCTGCCTGGTCGTTACTCATTCCATCTCTGCCTTCATCTCCTTACACTGCGGGATGACTATCTCAGAAAACACGCTATCTACGGAGGTTTCAGCTTCGCCGATGCACCTCCGTGACTCCAGATGATTTTCCAGTTCAAAGATTTGGCACTCAAGCTGTTCAAGCTAGCGATAATTCCCACAAATGTAGTGAATCAGACTGTCAGAAGAATCAAGGAATTCACACACGCTGTAGATGGCACAACACACTACCTTGGCCTCACCTGTTATTTGGAGTCAAATTCAAATTCCTTATGTTTAAGACTTTTTAAAAATTCTCTCACGGGTGTCAGTGCCTGGCCAGCATTTATTGCCCATCCCTAGCTGCCCTTAAGGAGGTTGTGGTGATCTGCAGACCCTGTGATGTAGGTCGACCACAATACCATTAGGGAGGGAATTCCTGGATTTTGATACAGTGACAGTGAAGGAGCAGTGCAAATCTTGCCACTTGTCAGACCAAGCCTGGATATTGACCAGATCGTGCTGCATTTGAACATCGCCTACTTCATTATCTGAAGAGTCACAAAAGATGCTGAACATTATGCAACCATTACGAATATCCCTATTTCTGAACTTATATTGGAGGGAAGGTAATTGATGAAGCAGCCAAAGATGATTTAGCCTAGGGCACTACCCTGAGTAAATCCTGCAAAGATGTCCTGGAGCTGTGATGACTGACCTCTAACAGCCACAACCATGTTCCTATGTGCCAAGTATGCCCCTGATTCCAGTTTTGCTAGGGATGTTTGATGCACACTTGATGAAATGTGGCCTTTATATCAACAGCTGTTGCGCTCACGTCACCACACCTCTGGAGTTTAGCTCTTTGTCCATGTTTGAACCAAGGCTGTAATGAGGCCAAGAGCTGAGCAGAACCCAAACTGGGCATCACTGAGCAGGTTATTGCCGAGCAGGTGCTGCTTGATAGCACTGTTGACGACACCTTACATTACGTTACTGATGATCGACATTCGACTGATGGATTGATAATTGGCAGAGTTGGATTTACCCTGCTTTTTGTGTGCGCAGGATGTACCTGGGCAATTTTCCATATTGCAGGGTAAACAATAGAGATTTAGCTGCAAATCTTGGCTAGGGGAGCAGCAAATTCTAGAGCACCAGGCTTATGTACTCACTCAATTACATACTATAGCAAGAAAATTGCTAGGGCCCATAGTATTTGCAGTATCCAGTGCTTCCAGCTATTTATTTTTAATATCACGTGGATTGGCATGAATTTAATCGACTGAAAACTGATATCTGTAATGCTGGGGACCACTGGAGGAGGCCGAGATATTTCATCCACTTGGAACTTCTTTCTGAAGATTGCTGCAAATGCTTCAGTCTTTTGTACCGATGTGCTGGGCTCTTCCATCAGTGAGCATCGGGAGATTTGTTGAGCCTCTTCCTCTGGTGAGAAGTTTAATTGTCCACCACCATTCATGACTGGATGGGCCAGGACAATAGAGCTTGCACTAGTCTACTGGTTGTCTGTTTGCTTATCTTTGTCTGTCATTTTCGACTTATGCTGTTTGGCATGCACATCATACTGTTTGGGAGATTAATCAGGTTGACTTCTCATTTTAGACATTCCTTGTGATGTTCCTGACACAACTTCTGGCACTTTCTGTTGAACCAGAGTTGATCCCTTTGCTTGATGGCAATGGCTCAATGGGGGGATGTGCCAGGCCATGAGGTTGTAAAGTACAAGAGTCAAAGCACAAGATTACAAGTACAAGGGTCACCGGATCCTAAATGTTAACTCTGTTTTTTTCCTTCACAGATGCTGCCAGACCTGCTGAGCTTTTCCAGCAACTTTGTTTTTGTCCCTGATTTACAGCATCTGCAGTTCTTTCGGTTTTTATTAGGTTGTAAAGTAGTTTGGAGTATGAATCTGCAACTGTGATGGAAAGAACTTAACCCTTACCCTGTAGACCCGATATGAAATGAGCTAAATGCGGTACAATGAGCACTGAGCACTAAACGATGCTCATAGCTACAGGGAAGGGAGTGTTGGAGAAAACTTCACATAGTGGTAGGAAAGGAAGCAGCAGTGGCAACTGATCAAATTGTCTCATTTTTAGTGACAAATAAATTCTATAAATTACAATGTCAGCACATTTATTGGAGTGGGCTTTAATAACATTGGTATAAACAAGACAAGTTCATTCCTTGGTGTGAGTAAGAGAAAAATATTTCAACTCATGTTATTTGTGAATTTTCTGGTGTCTCAGTAGGTGAGATGACTGAAGGCTTTCCCACATTCAGAACAAGTGAATGGTCTCTCTCCAGTGTGAACTCACTAGTGTAATTATAGGTGGGATAACCAAGTGCATCCCTTCCCACACATGGAACAGGTGAATGGATTCTACCCAGTGTGACTGCGTTGGTGAGTTTCCAGCTGGGATGGGTAAAAAAATCCCTTCCCGCGATCCCCACATTTCCGAAGTATCTCTTCAGTGCGACTGCACTGGTGTTTGGACACTTCAGATGACTCTTCCCTACAAAGCGTGGAGCTGGAGGAACACAGCAGGCCAGGCAGCATCAGAGGAACAGGAAAGTTGACGGGTCGGGATCCTTCTTCAGAAATGTCAACTTCCGCTCCTCTGATGCTGCCTGGCCTGCTGTGTTCCTCCAGCTCCACACTATGTTATCTCTGACTCCAACATCTGCAGTTCTTACTGTCTCAGTGTCCCTCCCCATGCTTTTTTCCTTCTATGTTCAAAATCCTTTGACAATATGGTTATGATTAAAATGAGGGACTATCAGATCTGGATATGGTTTCATCTGAATCCTTTAATTGCAAACCAATCTTTCAAACAGAAAAAAAAAACGAAGTGAAGGAGAAAACAGAAGAATACACACAGGTAAAATTGAGAGAAATTAGTCTGGTCATTTGTGCAGTCAGTACTTGGAGAGAAACTTACCATGTAAACCGTTGGATTACCATTAAAATCATTCAGTGTTTGTACAAAACTACAGAGGTGGGAGATAGGAGTGAAGGAGAGGCATTTATACATCTACAATTCGATCCTGTTCTAGCTTCCCCTGAAACACTTTAATCCCTTTCGTCCTCAGAGCTAAGAACAAATGGAGAAGCAAAATGCTGGAAACACTCAGCAGTTCTGGTAGCATCTGAAATCTGTCCATTAATAACCTCAATCTTCAGCGTCATGTTCTGCAGTTCCCTTCTTAAACCTCTCTGAGTCCTTCTCCTCTTCAAGCTGACATCTTTTGTAACGTTCTTGATCATCGGCTTTATTTTTCTCAGTGACAAGTCTTGTGATATAATATGTCAGTGAAATTCAAGTGAACGTTTCATTGCAGTCAGAGGTCTATATAAATGCGAATTGTGTTTGTCGATTTATAAATCTATCAGTCTTCGTTTATCATTGCAACAATCCTCAGAAAGAAAGCTCGTATGAGCACCCTCATTACAAAGACAGCAGTGATTCATGTGGCTCACTCTCAGCTGCTCAACAGACTCCCGGGGATTGATAACATCTGCTAGTCTCTCTCAGCTCAAACTTGTCCATATCCAAGAATGGAGCTTAATTTAACAAAAAAAACGGTCGTGCAAATTGGATTTAAAGGCTTTGTTTAAAAAAAGCTACAAAACAGCATGAAATAGCGATACTGACGCCCTTTAAAAATTTTAACACTCACAGTGACCACCAACAGACACATTCCTGGGAGGGGGCGTTGTTGGGAGGACTGAGCTTAGAAGCATTCACCAACACAGCTCCAGTAAAGCCGCCACGAGAAGAGGAGAAGCAGGGACAGTGCCTGCTCTGATATCACACGGAACCTGTCCCTCAAACCTCCTGAACCCCGCCCGGCTCGCTGAGCTACCTACCAGCTGGAAGCTTCCTGAACTTTGACCAGCCTTGCCCAAGAGTGGGACAGTCCAAGACCAGTCTCCGTAACTAACAAGAGGGTGTTAGGTGATCTCTTGCTTTGTGCCGTATCCAATTTGTTCCTCCCTCCACGCCGCCATGGCCCTGTAAACAATGAATGTAGATTGCTGATGGATCTTGATGGATATCACGACTCCGCACCTTTCTGCACTGTAACCGTTCTCTGCACCAATCTAGTGTCTTTATCCCATTGCTTCATTCCCAGTGATTCTGTGCTGTTGTTACTAGCTCCCCGTTTCATCCCGGTCATCCTTCCCCTTTTCCCTGGTTACCACAGAAACTTCGAAAATAGGAGAATTAAAAGGCCCTTCGGCCTGTTCCGATATTCAGTAAGACCACGGTTGATCATCCAGCTCAGGAACCCTACATCCCTTTGATAACATCAGCCCTTGGAATATATCTAAATCCTTCTAGAAAACAGTCAACGTTTTGGACTCAGCCGCTTCCTGTTGCAAAGTATTCTGCAGGCTGCCCATTTTCTGGGTGAAAAGCTAATCTCCTCACCTCAGACTAAATGGTTTTCAAAGGCTCCTTTTTTTTATGTATCTTGCTAATTGTCTTTATTTTGCATTCAGGATTGCTAATGTCCTATTCACACCTCATGCAGACACATCTTTTATCTCAGATAACAAGGCGTAGAGCTGGATGAACACCGCAGGTCAAGCAGCATCAGAGGAGCAGGAAAGCTGACGTTTCGGGTCTAGACCCTTCTTCAGAAATCCTCAACGTCTTTTATCTCTTCGCTTCTCTATCGCCACTCCCTAAGATTTGGCAACGCGAACCCTATTGGCAGGAAATATCTCCTGCCCTTTACTTGATCATTCCCTTTGTTCACCGCCACCCCCGCCCAGCCTCACCTCCCATTGCTCACCGACCTGAACCCCCAACACCACCCCCATCCCCAACTCCTGTCTTCACAGACGTGGCCAGAATCAATGTCCGCGTTTCCACAGCAGAGTAAGAGACCCTTCGGCCCATCAAGTCTGTCCCAGTCAAGAAAACAGCCCAACTACTCTAATTCAATTTTCAGCATTTAGTCCATTGCCTTGTATACCTTAGCATCACGAGTATATATCTAAATGCTTCTGAAATTTTACGAGGATTTCCGCATCTACAACAGTTGCAGGCAGTGAGTTCCAGATTCTCACCACACACCGGATGAAAAAATAATCTCCCATTTCCTCTAACCTTTTGCCCTTTAATCTATACCTCTGGTCCTAGATCCCTGCAAGGGAATGGATCATTCTGTCTCTCCTGTCTAAGTCCCTCATCACTTTATACACTCAGTCATGTCCTCCCTCGGTCTGCTTTGCTCCAAAGAAACTAACCCCAGTGTATGAGGGGGGTGTGGTACCCTGCTGATGGGAGAGATCAGATTTTACCCTGCCACCCATTCTGGGATAATCTGCCACTATCACTAAATACTAATTGCCTTCTGTGAACCCAAATCAGGGCCGAGATTGACCACAGCCCACAGCCTGTAACTAGGGTTGGTAGAAAGAGGAAGAGAGAGGGGGAGTGATATAATCTAATACCAACAGTGACTTCCAATCCATTAGAGAGTGGGGATAGGGACAGAGAGTTCAGAAACACTTGCCAACTCGACTCTAGTGGAACATCCACAAAGAGGTATTTGTATCATCAGTAGACACAGGTGAGGTGCTGGAAGACTGGAAGTTGGCTAATGTGGTGCCATGATATAAAAAAAGGTGGTAAAGAAAAGCCAGGCTACTATAGACCAGTGAGCCTGACATCAGTGGTGGGCAAGTTGTTGGAGAGAATCCTGACGGATAGGATTGAGATGTATTTGGAAAGGCAAGGACTGATTAGCAATAGTCAACATGGCTTTGTTTGTGGGAAATCGTGTCTCACTAACTTGATTGAGATTTTTGAAGAAGCAATGAAGAGGATTGATGAAGGCAGGGTGGGGGATGTGATCTATATGGACTTCAGTAAGGCTTTTGAAATGGTTCCTCAAGTAAGACTTGTTAACAAGGCTAGATCACTTGAAATACAGGGAGAATTAACCATTTCAACACAGAACTGGCTTGAAGGTAGACAACAGAGGGTGGTGGTGGAAAGCTGATTTTCAGACTGAAAGACTGTGACCAGCAGTGTGCCATAAAGATCGATGCCGGATCCACTGCTTTTCTTCATTTATATAAATGATTTAGATGTGAATATGGGATATATGGTTAGTAAATTTGCAGATGACAACAAAATTGGAGGTGTAGTGAACAGTAAAGAAGCTTACCTTAGAGTAAAATGGGATCTTCATCAGATGAGCCAAAAGGCCAAGGAGTGGCAGTTTAATTTAGATAAATGTGAGGTGCTGCATTTTGGAAAGGCAAATAGGGCAGCACTTTAATGGTAGGGGAATAGTGAGTGTTGCTGAACAAAGAAACCTTAGAGTGCAGGTTTATAGTTCCTTGAAAGTGGAATCTCAGGTAGATAGGATAGTGAAGAAGGCATTTGGTATGCTTGCCTTCATTGGTCAGTGCACTGAGTATAGGAGTTGGGAGGTCATGTTGCAGCTGTACAGGACATTGGGAAGGCCACTTTTGGAATACTGGATGCAATTCTGGTCTCCCTGCTATAGGGAAGATGTTGTGAAACTTGAAAGTGTTCAGAAAAGATTTACAAGGATGTTGCCAGGTTTAGAGGGTTTGAGCTATAGGCAAAGGCTGAATAGGCTAGAGGTATTTTCTCTGGAGCAACGGAGGCTGACGGTTGACCTTATAGAGGTTTATAAAATCATGAGGGTCATGGATAGGGTAAATAGACAAGGTCTTTTCCCTGGAGTGGAGGAGCCAAAAATTAGAGGGTATAGGTTTAAGATGAGAGGGGAAAGATTTAAAAGGAACCCAAGGGGCAACTTTTTCACACAGAGTGTGGTGTGTGTATGGAATGAGCTGCCAGAGGAAGTGGCGGAGGCTGGTACAAATACAGCATTTGAAAGGCATCTGGATGGTTATATGAAAAGGAAGTGTTTAGAGGGATATGGACCAAATGCTAGCAAATGGGCCTAGATTTATTTAGGATATCTGGTCGGCATGGACGAGTTGGACCGTGCTGTACATCTGTATGGTTCTATGACTGTAAAAGGTGGAGCAGAAGCTGTTCCCACTTTGATATCCCATAGATCTGTCAATCACAATGTCATTCTCGCCAGTACACAGAGCAACCTACCTACTTGCAGCTTCTTAACCCTTAAGCCAGCCCTGCCCAGGAGTGGGACAGTCCAAGGTGAGAACCTCAGGGAGACTCATTCTGCTGTATCCATTCTCTGATCCAATTATGTATCTTTATCCCATTGATGCCTTCCAAGAGATTTCCACCTTCTGCTGTTGTCCACGTCTCCCAGTATAACCAAGTAACGTCCTCACCATTCCCCTGGTGAATGTGAATGTGTATGTCGGGCTGTGTCCTGACTTGTTGAATGTATCTCGCATTCACTGTTAGTCCTTCAGTCATGAAACGGCGGCAGGGCTTTTCGGTTCTGTAATCCCAACACATGACCTAAACATTATCAATTATGCAATGCATAGCTCCTCATGTGTTTTACAGTTTCCTTTGAAACTGTGATTAATTTTCGAGCTCTTTCTCAGTTGGGAGAGAATTTACATGTAGTTGCAATGTAACTAGTTCCCTCGATTCGATCACAGTCCCTGGCACTAATATAAAATCCTCACTAAACATCAACGGGAGGTGCGTGGAGGATGGAAGATAGAGTGTCAACAGATATCATGTGGCAAATTTCTCAAGTTATAGACTTTAGTGTTGAGAACGCATTGGGAGTGAATGAGGGGCTGGACTGGAGGACCGAATGGGAGTGACTGGTCCTCCAGCCAGTGGGAATGTATGAGTTGGGTTTTTAATGGCAATTCGGCGGTTTTTATGACAACTTTCGCCTACTGCTAACGCCACAACTTTCCAGTTTCATTCAGCTCCATATCATAACCTGCCTTTATGCTTTTGTGTGTTCTCTCACACTTTTTTCAATGTTAAAAATCAGATTAACAAATTGCACAGGACATTAGAGGATTTAGGGGCGACACAATGGCTCTGTGGTTCGCACTGTTGTCTGACAGCACCAGGAACCCAGGTTCTACTCCACCCTCAAGCGACTGTCTGTGTGGAGTTTGCACGTTCTCCCCATGTCTGTGTATGTTTCCCTCCACTGTGCAAAGATATGCAGGTTAGACTTGCTAATTAAACAGTCTATGTTTTCATGCTAATCATTTATATATATATTACGTCCCAGCTCTGATTCTTGTGGAATAGCACTGGTCACAGACCTCCAGTCAGAAAAACATTTCTCCGCAAATGTTGACGGGAGAAATATCATAGAGGAATCCTGAGTTTTGTGTTTAGCAACTAGAGTGACATTTATGTGGAGCTCCTTACCAATCATCATGGGAAAGGTCCATCCCCGGTACTGTCTGGCATCCCCCAGCCAAGTACAGGATTTTTATACATTTCCCCTTACAATACTTACATCCAAACTTGATGTCATTGCTAGCCACATCCCCCTAATCCCAGTGAACACACAGTCAATGATGGACAACTCTATGGATAGCCCTAGGTCTCCCTGTAATCTCATGATGTTTACCAGATACCTTCTTCATTTACCTTTAGAATCTCAATACCTGCTGTTTAACAATTCAATCCTGACAGTTTTATACTCCTTCCAAAACATTTACCAGTTGCACCTCATTGTCAATAACCTGGAAACGTTATCTCTGAGGTCTCTTCCAAGTTCTGTGTTGGAATTTATATTCCCTACTAACCTTAGTACAAAAGATTAGAAAGGATTTTAATTTTTCCTAATTATTATAAATTCTTTAAAAT